CTATCTCTCTCTTTACATTATTGTTCTTGTTTATGCTTTCCTGCCTAACATACTCGGTACTTTATTCATACTGACGTCCCTTTTGCCTGGGGACGCTGCGTTTCATTCCCACAGATCCCGATTGATAGGTTGACAGTCCTCCTAGTAGGCTATCAGCTCAGCGAAGGTGTTGTGCACTCCACTTGCTCCGGAGTTGCCTATTTGGTCAGAATACTTTGGATATGTATTGATTGGTATGGCGGGGACCTGTCCCGACCTTTATGATTTTATGTACTCTTAGAGGCTTGTAGACAGATGTCAAGTGTATGGATAATTGTATGGCCTTGTCGGCCTATGTTTCGAGTTTACTAATGGTTATGTCGACCTTATAGGCCCGTATGTCACATATATTAGTTTGTATATCATGTTAGGTCTTCATATGTTGAGTATTCCCTTATGTTTTATTTTTGTTATCTCATGACGGGTTTTCTGTCTCATTTACTCATGATAACATGATAAGAAAGATATGTTACGTTGGTACTCGGTTGAGTAAGGCACCGGGTGCCCGTCACGGCCCTTCGGTTTGGGTCGTGACAGTAGTGACGAGGCTAAGGTGCGGCGTTTACAACATAACTTGCATACAGTATATAATAAAGCAAAAGAAAGTACGGAACGAAATGGAATAGTAACTTGTAATAAGATAATTACGGAACTCAATTATCTTGCCAGTACTCAGCTATAACCAATCCTTAAGAGAGTTACATTGCTATAGAATAGAATCATGGTAGAGGAAAAAATACATAAACAACAAAATGATGCGGCGCGCATCCCGATCCCTCCATAGAATCAGTAATAATATGAACATTCACCCTTATTACCCTTTGTTGCGGCGTGCAAACCAATCCCACTAATCCACCCTTATTACTCCTCAATATATCACACTTATTCCTCCTGTTGCGGCGTGCAAGCCGATCCTACATGTCCACCCTTATTGCTCCTTATTGCGGCGCGCAACCCGATCCCACCAGACAATCACATTTCACCCTTATTCCTCTTGTTATGGTGTGCAACCCCATCCCACCATGTCAGCACAATAAGGACAAGTATTTCACAATTTAGCTCAAATCATCCACAACATTTATGCCTCAACCAAATCAAATGGAAATCTATACAATTATGAAATCTCATCAATTATTACTACACAACGAGACCAACCAAAATAGTATCATGAAACATCAATAAACCAACTTAAACCAATAATATAATACAATGAAACTACGGAATAATTAATATCTTCAATAAAGAAAATTACATCTAACAAGAAGCAATTAGACATGGAAGCATTAATAAGCATATAACATCTAAGATAGGAAGATAATATATTGGGAACGGGGAAGGGAACAAGCTAAACAAATAATTTGGTGGCGCATAGGTACTCGTCACCACACCTATACGCCACATACATGGAATTTCACATAGCAACTAAGACGGGGATCCCTAATCCCTCGAGTCAAGGTTAGACCAAACACTTACCTCAATCCAACGGCCAATTCAAAGCTCAATTACCATTTTACCTCTTGATTCTACCTCCAATCTACTCGTATCAAGTCATAATTAACTTAATAACATTAATTATTGCTAAAGACATCAATTCCAATGCATAATTATAGATTTTCCAATATTTTTCCCAAAAAGTCGAAAAGCGACCTCGAGCCTGCTTGGTCAAAACCCAAAATGTGGACCAAAACCCGATTACCCATTCACCCCCGAGCCCGGATATACAATTGGTTTTGGAATTCGACCTCAATTTGAGGTCTAAATCACCAAAATTTTAAATTCTTAAGTTCTACCCGAAAATCCCCAATTCCACCATGAAAAACCCTAGATTCTAGGATGAAATCTTGTGAAAAGAAGTAAAAGATTGAAAGAAATGAGTTAATAAACATTTATCTATGATTTGGGGAAGAACTAGCCTTTGGAAAATCGCCTCTTGAAGTTTAGGTTTTGAAAAATGGGAGAATGAATAAAAAATCATGTCTAATTCCAAAGTCATCAATGTAGATATCGCATTTGCGACCTGAGCTTCGCATTGAGAAGCTCGCAAATGCGAAGGAGCCATCGCAAATGCGAAGCCCTTCACAGTCCTGCTACCTTCGCGAATGTGAGGAAAATGTTGCCTTTGCGAACACTGTTCCTCATAAATGCGAGTAAAAGATCGCATTTGCGATCATACCCTTCCCAGACTCCCTTCGCAAATGTGAAGGAAAGTTCGCAATTGCGAACATAGGCTGGCCCAACTTCTCTTCCCATTTGTGATGAAAAGATCGCAAATGCGACCTCAATAGTGATCGCAAATGCGAACCCTGACCTCGCATTTGCGAGGTTTGAGGCCTGCAACACAGCTGAAGCACACCAGTTATTTTTCTTAAGTCCAAAACGCTCCGTAGCCTATCTGAAACTCACCCGAATCCTCGGGGCTCCAAACCAAACATGCACACAAGTCTTAAAACATCATACGAATTTGCTCATGCGATCAAATCGCCAAAATAACACCTAGAAATATGAATTTAGCACCAAATTGCATGAAATTTTCAAGATAGTTTCAAAACTTCTATTTTCTCAACCAAAGGTCCGAATCACGTCAAATCAATTTCGTTTTTCACCAAATTTCACATATAAGATTTAAATATCATAACTGACCTGTACCGGGCTCTGAAACCAAAATACGGGCCCGATACCAACAAGATCAAATCCTTATTATTACATTTTCAGTCTTATCAATTTCCTTCAAAAATTCATTTCTCAGGCTAGGGATCCCAGGATTCAATTCCGGGCATACACCCAGGTCCCATATTTTACTACGGACCTCCGAGACCATCGAAATATGGGTCCTGGTCCGTTTACCCAAAACATTGATCGAAGTCAACAAAAGTCAACTTTTTAGGCCAAAAATCATCATTTCACAAATTTTTCACATAAGGGCTTTCCGGATACACGCCCGGACTGTACATGCAAATCGAGGAGAGATAAAATAAGATTTTTAAGGCCTTAAAACACATATTCGAGTTCTAAAATAGAAGATGACCCTTTGGGTCATCGCAATTTTTGAGGGAGGAATTTATAGAAGGGGTTAAGGAATTTATTACGCATGTAATGTCACTTGAACCGTTTCGAATTGGAGGTTTGATCATGTGTCCTTGTGTGAAGTGCAAGTGTTTGCATTTTTTTGGACCGGAGGATGTTAAGACTCATCTTTATAAAAAAAGGTTTATGGATAATTATTTTGTATGGACTAGTCATAGAGAGGTTGATGGTACTGATGGTGTATTTCATAACATAATAGTTGGTGAAATTAGTAGGCCGGTGGAGAATAGCGTTCAACATCTTAGATACCATGAAATGGTTGCAGATTCTTTAGGGATGCACTTTGATTTTGAAACCCGTGAAAGTGTTGAACAACCTCCTAACAAAGAGGCAAAATATTTTTATGAACAGTTAGAAGCCGCTAGTCGTCCACTAAGACAAGGGAATATGCACTCTCAGTTGTCTGTTGCGGTTAGATTATTAAGTATCAAATCAGATACTAATATTTCTCAAGTAGGAATGGATTCTTTCATTGGCCTTGTGAGTGAACTAGTTGACCCAGCTTTCAACATACCTGAAGATTTCTATAAGGCTAAAAGATTGGTTTCTAAGTTAGGACTCCCGTCTATGAGAATCAATTATTGTGAAGATGGTTGCATATTGTATTATAAGGGTGATGCAGATTTAGAAAGTTATAAATTTTATGAAAAACCCCGTTTTAGGCGGTTTTCTAGCGGGAAGAATTCTGTTGTGAAGTTGATGCATTATTTACCTCTTATTCCTAGATTAAAGAGGTTGTACACATCGATGAGTTCTTCTCCTCTTATGAGATGACACTATGAAAATATAAGGCCGCCCAGTGTTATGTGTCATCCTTCAAATGGGAAAGCTTGGAAGCATTTTGATAGGACGTAATCGGATTATGCAAGTGAACCGAAAATGTTCGGTTGGGTTTGTGTGTTGATGGTTTCATGCCATTTTCTGTTTTTGCAACACTATATTCATGCTGGCCGATCTTTATTACGCCATATAATCTTCCGCCTAAAATGTGTATGACTAGTCCATATATTTTTTAAAATTGTGCTATTCCCAGTCCCCGCAATCCAAAGAGTTTGATTGATATATATTTGCAACCTTTAATTGATGAGCTTAAACAGGTGTGGTATGATGGAGTTGAGACATATGATATATCAACTAAGCAAAATTTCAACTTGCGTGCTAATTTAATGTGGACCATTAACGATTTTCCTGTGTATGGAATGTTTTATGGGTGGATGACTGCCTGAAAGTTAGCATGTCCTTACTGCATGGAAAATGGTAAAGCGTTCACTTTAAGACATGGCCGAAAGTAGTCATGGTTTGATTGTCATCGTCAGTCCTTGCCGATTGATCATGAGTTCAGAAGGATGAAGAATGCATTCAAAAAGAATATAGTTGAACTTGATTTGCCGCCTCTAATTTATTCAGGTGAGGAAATTTGGGAGAGGGTTCAGAATTTCACTAAAGTTACCGAGTCCCCACCTTATAGATTTTCTGGATATGGTGTTACTCATAACTGGACAAAACAGAGCATATTTTGGGAGTTGCCATATTGGAAGGATAATCTTCTCCGACACAATCTTGATGTCATGCATATTTAGAAGAACTATTTTGACAATTTGTTCAACATAGTGATGGATGATAAGAATAAGACAAAAGATAACCCGAAAGCTAGACTGGACTTACAAGAATATTGCAGACGACCTGAATTACATTTGCACTGGGAACAATGGTAAGGTGTTCAAGCCCAAGGCCAGCTACACATTCACTTTGGAACAAAGACGACAGATTTGTGAGTGGGTTACAAACCTAAAGATGCCCGAGGGCTATGCATCGAACCTGGGAAAACGTGCCAATATGGTTGAGGGAAAGCTGACTCATATGAAAAGTCATGGTTGTCATATATTCACGGAAACCTTAATCCCTATTGCATTTTGTGGATTGCCTGAAAATATATGGAAACTCATCACAGAGATAAGTTTGTTCTTCAAAGACTTATGTTCTACCACATTAAGGAAAGAAAACCTATTTCAAATAAATTGAAACATTACTGTAATCAGTAATAAGCTAGAAAGAATTTTTTCATGTGGTTTCTTTGATATGATGGAACACCTTCCAATTCACCTTGTACACGAGGCACGACTTGGAGGCCCGGCTCAATGCAGGTGGATGTATCCATTCGAGAGGTAATGATCAAATCTTGATTTATTCTTGTAATTTTCTTTAACGTAATCGTCTAATATGACAATGTGCAAGTGTAAACGATTTGTTAAACAGAGGAATAGGACTGAAGGATCCATATGTGAAGCCTATCTTGCAAAGGAAACTGACCATTTGTTTTCTTACTACTTTGACAGTCATGTGCCATGTGCTAGAAATAGGCCCAATCGGCATAATATGGTGATTGATATTGATCCATTATATCCACCTATGTCCATATTCAATCAACCAGGCCGAGGTTCTAAAGATCGAACAAAAAAGGGCCTAAGTAATATGGAGTACAAATCAGCTTCAAATCATGTGTTGCTAAATTGTCCGGAAGTTCAACCCTTTCTTAAGTAAGTGTTGACGTAAGATTAATTTATTTGGGCTACTCATTAATTTGGTTGATGCAACTAACAAATAATTTTCAATACGTCGCTGAGTGACTTCATGAGTCAATTTGGTCATGGTGCTATATATTTGTCATGACCCGGATTTTCCACTGTCGGGATCGTGATGGCGCCTACTTTTAGGATGCTAGGCAAGCCAACAGATAAAGATCTAACACGCTAACTGTTATCCAAATCAATAAATCATAATAATTTAAACCAAAACAAGGTAATGAAGTGCGCAAATTTATAACAATCTAAACACTAATACACGACTACCCAAAATCTGGTGTCACAATCCATGAACTTCTAAGAGTTACTGATAACTAAGGATTCTAGCCTATTTTATGCTCCTTTTTGCTTGAGTTTTGGATTAAAAGTGCGTACAAGTATTCCCGAAAACTAACTTAATGTGCTTGTTTGCAGTGTTTGGTCAAAAAGAAACAAGAAAGTCAAAACCAACTCATAAAGGAGTGAAACCTGCACAAGTTCAAAGGCTGAGGCAAAGGAGCGCTGACAACGAAGAATCAAGCATGGACTCAGAGGGTCTACCGCTGAGGCAGTCTTTTTTACGCTCTCAGCGGTGGCAAAGTTCAGAGAGCTGCATTTTTGGCCTAACAAGTCACTGCTGCCCGCGGTGAAATTGAGCGGCATCGGTCATTTTATCACCCTCAGCGGAAGTCAAAGTTCAGAGAGCCATAAGTAGAGCTAAAAGATGAAGACCGTGGTCCGCGATGGCTTTTGCGCGGCCGCGGTAGTCTTAGCGCTGCAGCGGTCCATTTTTCGCTATCAGCGGAACCTCCGTAGGGGCAATTTTGTCCATGAAAATTTAGTTGTGTATAAATAGTTTTTTTTTTAGATTTTTAGGACATATGTTGTTTAGAGAGCACATATACCGCCGTTTTTAGCCTTTTTAAGCAATTTTAGAGCTTTGTTAACCATTAATCTTAGATTCTTCTTTTGTAATTACATTTTATGGTTTATATTTCATCTAAATCTTTAGTTTCTTCTTTGATTATGAGTAGCTAAACCCATTAGCTAGGGTTGTGGCTCAACCATAGTGTAGGTATTTAATGGGTCTTCAATTTTAGGGCTTAAATGTTTATGGGTGAATGATAGTTGGCCTGATTTATGCTTTAAATATTGAATTAGTGGTTGCAAACACTGATTTGTGTCTTTTTGACTTAGGCTCTTCTTCAGAAAGAGAGACTAAGTGTAGGAAATTCAGGCAAACAAGGAATTGGGGTGCATTCAAGAGATTGATAACCCCAATTAAAGGGTTAAACCTAGAGATAGTAATACCCGACTTGAGCTAATTTTGATTGCATTGTTTGAACACCCAATTGGGAAATGCAGTTTATCTAGGTAAGTGCCAAGGCTAAAATTTCTTGATTTTATTATTCAAAATAATAAGTATTAATTATCTCCTTTCATTTGGTAAAGGAATAAATGTTGATTTAAAATATGGTATTTTTCTATAGGTGCTTATGATGATGAAGGAGCAGCTGCTCATGCTTATGATTTGGCTGCACTTAAATACTGGTGAAGTGAGACCATTCTTAATTTTCCGGTAATTAACTCATCTAATTAATATCCTTTGAAACATAGTACTGCAGTTTTTCACACAAAAATATATTTAAAAAATAAAAATAAATAAATGAAGGTACTGATATTGATTTATTCTATTAGCTATCAGCTTATGAAAAGGAAATCATAGAAATGGAGGGTCAGTCCAGGGAAGAATATATTGGATCTTTGAGAAGGTAAGTTGAATAGTGAATGTTATTTCTCTTTCACTAGAAATTAAAAGTTTTTTTTTTTTAATTTCCAGGTTATTTATTTGCACAATTCATTAGCATAATATTGATGAGTACCAAAATTGTAGGAAGAGCAGTGGATTCTCAAGAGGAATTTCGAAAAATCGTGGAGTAGCAAGGTACCAAAATATTTTGGCATTTTTGTTTTTGTCACATCTAGTTCAAGCTATATCGTGTAAAATTGACACATACATAAAAAGTATAAACACTTTGACTTTAGTTCTTGGATTCGTTACAAAAAAGAGAGGCAGAAATTATTGTTGAGACACATATTTATTACGTAAGTAATTAAAAGTTCACTTTCTTTAATAGTTTATCATTTTAGATGAGCTAATAACACATTTCAACAAGCCGCATGAGCGCGTATCACACATAATACAATTACATAAATACAAGTATGCTCTCTCTAGGTATGACCACATAATTCAACAAGTTTAATTACGTATTTTGAAGTTTTCTCCTTGAGAAACCAAGATAGAAATTCAACTCTAGAAATGCATGTTATATCTGAGTTGCATCTGCAGAGTAAGTGTTCCCTCCGTCTCAAATTATTTGTCATATTTCTATTTTGTACGTTCCTTAAGAAATATTAAATAATTTTTTTTTGTGACTATTTTACATATATTTATGTCTTAAGATATAATCTCTTCACTTAATACTTATTCATAATTGAGGTGTTTTTAGCATTGAAGGAAATTTATTCTTTGTTCTGATATCTTCACCTCATGTCAATGAACAGACATCATCGTAATGGAAGATGGGAAGCACGAATAGGCAGAGTTTTTGGCAATAAGTACCTTTACCTCGGAACATACGGTAAGTATCACTAAACATTTCCATATATAGAAACACGTACATTTCCTAATATAAATTCATTCTAAAGGATTTAATTACATTCACCAACACTACTATTTTCACAGACAGTCAACGCTTTAAAATTTCCGATCGATTTTTGTCGGTACATATTTGCGACCATTTTTCCGACCAACTAAAATCGATCGGAATTAGATCGAAAATTATCAATTTCTGACCGATTTTGGTCGGAAATAATGGACAGAATTGCAGTGTTTTTCAGTAGTGGTGATTTATAAGTGAGATCTGGGGAGGGTAGTTTGTACTCAAACCTTACCCCTACCCCGAAGGGGTAGAGAAGCTGTTTCCGAAAGACCCTCGGCTCAAGATAATAAAAAGAAGACAAAAGGAGAGGAGGCGTTAGGGCATAAGAATTGTAAAATTCCAAAAAATGGTGAAAAAAAATTTCATGTAAAAATAATATTTGAAATTTAGAGTTGTGTTTGGACATAAATTTCAGTTTGGGTTGTTTTTAAAGTTGTATGAGTGATTTGAGTGAAAATTTTGAAAAACACCTTTTTGGAGTTTTCAAATTTTCAAGAATTTCCAAAATGCATCTTCAAGTGAAAATTGAAAATTGTATTAATAAACGCTGATTTCGGAAAAAAGTGAAATTTTTTATAAAAAAGGATTTTTTTATTTTTTTTTGTCCAAAAGGGCTCTTAAATATAACTTTATTTCTAAGAGTGACACTTCCACATCACAACCTTTGGTATCCGTTCATACTAACTCTCAGCCTTAAGGAGGTTATTTTAGTATGTACACTGTTCCAATAATTGACTACACAATTGTTATCTCAAACTACAAGCCAATCAACTTTTACTATTTAAAGATAATATCTACACTAGAATAGAAAAAATGCAATATTTGGACTTCTTGAGTTTTTACTCTCCCCACACAATATCATGCTTTCATATCTCTAATTATTTTTATCCAAACCAAAAGAAAAAGAGCAAAAATAACTTTGTGGGGTCACCATTTTACTTAATTTTAAGGGGTCGTTTGATAGGGTATATTAGGAAAAATAATATATATATATATATA